GTATCAGCGGACACCATATCAGCGGACACTTTATCAGCGGACACTTTATCAGTAAGCGTCCTCCGTATCAGCAACGCTCCTCCTATCAGCAACGCTCCTCCATATCAACGAGCATCCGACACTCGAATATCAGCGACGCTCGGTATCGGCAGATTCCCCCCCCCCCCGGCTGTATCAGCGACTCGTATCAGCGGACACCGTATCAGCAAGCGTCCTCCGTATCAAGCGTCCTCCATATCAGTGAGCATCCAACACTCCAATATCATCAGCGACGCTCTGTATCGGCAGATTCCCCCCCCCCGATCCGGAGAGGGGGACCAGGGAGGGAAAAGAGCCCAATCCCCTATATCGGAGGAGGCAGTGCTTGTAGTTCATTTGCAGACTCCAGAGAGGGACCGGGGAGGGAAAAAAGCCCATTCCCCTACATCGGAGGAGGCAGTGCTTGTAGTTCATTTGCTGGTGCCGCGGTTACTTGGCAAAAACTGAGCAACCAGTCTGTTACGTCAATAATCATCGAGTAATTAGTCTGTGCGCTTGAAGTAACTCATCTTCAGTTGTATCCTCATACTTCGGATACAACTTCAGTGAGTTACTAGAGTAATCAACATCGGTCTCATCCTCGTCCCTCGGTTTCGGCCTCTTGTTGATTACTCGGTAATCAACGAGTAATCAAGGTCGAATGGAACAGTAATCAAATTTTCATGATGCGCACACTGTAGATTCTTCTCCTAGGGATTTGTGCTCGTACCTCCCTCTCGCCCTAGGAGAAGAATCTACAGTGCGCACATCATGAAAATTTGATTACTGTTCCATTCGACCTTGATTACTCGTTGATTACCCGCGTGCGACTAATTACTCAACGATTATTAGACATACCATGCCCTCTCGAGCTAAAGCTCTCAGAGCGCATGGTACGCCAAGGTACAAAATTCTGGTTACAATTTGGTTACACGCGCTGCGCGAGCTCCTCCACAGATATATAACATACCATAAAATGTGTACTCTGGGACGTTCCGAAACGACTAATTTCCACGTACGCTTAGCTACCAGCTCTCGAACTAGTTTGACTACGGTAGATTGCAGCGCCTCTATGAAAAAAGAGGGGGTCCCGGGAAACAATTTTCATTTAGGTCGGATTTCTCTGGCTTTTTTCTGGTAGATTTAAAGTAAAAACATTGTTGATTTAAGGTAGAAACATAGTCGATAATTGGTAAATATATATTCAATATGTGGTAGCCCTATCAGCACGTGCCATACTGCGGGTCTAGTATAAATTATACATGGGGGGGATCTGGGAAGGCTACCAAAAATCGACTATAAATCAGATATCAATCAGATATCGATCAGATATAAATCTGATATGTTTTCCTTTTCTAGTCGATTTGTAGTCGAATTCTGGTAGCAAAAAAAAATCGAATTTTGAAGAAATAGTTTCCCGGAACCCCCTCTTTTTTCATAGATTCGTTCGATATCTACTGTAGTCGAACTTGGAGAGCTGGTAGCTAAGCGTACGTGGAAATTAGTCGTTTCGGAACGTCCCTGTTGAGCTCCGTGTTATTTGTGTGGGAAAAATTTTGTACTGTGCACTCGCGCGGACCGTGCGACGCCACAGTTATATTACATACTTGTACCGTACTGGCAGATGACGATGACCCCACTGTATTCGACACGGACTCGGACACCAATTATACCGTACCGCAAACCAAGCAACCCACACACAAACACACCACACACACCAAACCACACACACCACACACCACACCGGCCCGAGATACCCCACCATGCAGGTCCGACGGAAGCCCCCGTCCCGCCGACTGGCGGCTCTGGCCCTCCGGTCGCTGGTCCTCGGGTGCCTGGCGGTGGTCTCCATCGTGTACCTCGTGGGCCTGGCAACCGTCGTCTCCGAGCACCAGCAGCAACAACTACTACAACAGCCACATCCACCGCCACCGCCGAAGGAGGATGGTCCCGGCGCCGGGGGCCGCCGGCCGACCGGAATGCCTCCTCCTTCCACCGTCGGCTTTGCCGTCACGATCACAGGCTGCGGGTCGGACCCCATCACGGAGGGCGCCGCCATCCTGAAGCACAGCGTACACCTGGCCTCGGCCCAGGGCCCCCTGGGCGGCTCGTACGGATACAAGATGTACGCCATCTACCACCCGGGCGCGAGGGCCTGCGCGGAGACACTGGAAGGCCTGGGCTACGAGCTGGTGGAGCGGGAGACCCCCGTGGCGGTGGCAAACATCGAGGGGGACTTTCTCCGGTCCCGGATCGAGGCCAACGGCTGCTGTGGGGAGAAGGAGCTCGTCAAGCTCGAGGCCTACACGCTCACGGACCACCCGATCGTCGTCCACCTGGACCTCGACACGCTGGTCCTCCGGCCCCTCGACCCCCTTTTCGACTGGATGATGGCCGGGGACAAGGCCCGGGACTTTGACAAGTCGGGCGTCGCCCTCCAATGGCCGGACGCGGAGGTCCCGGAGCAGATCAACGCCTTCTTTACGCGGGACTGTAAGCCAGCCACGTTTGTGGTCGTTGTTGTCGCTCTTGCCCTTGTCGTCGCCGTTGGCCTTGCCGTGGCGATTGATCTTGAAGGAATGGGGCGCGCTTCTCCTGGCTAGTGTCTGGGCTAACGCAATCCGTTTTTTTGTTTCTGTTGTTGTCGTTGTTCTTGCCGCTGTGCGTTGCTGCTGTGGTCTCCGTCCCGGTTTGGCCGTCGCCGCGAACGGCACCGTCTTCCGATCCGCAGTCAACATGTGCAGCCCCCACAAACAAATCAAGCCCGTCCAGGGCGGCTTCCTGGTCCTCCGGCCCGACATGAAGGTCTACAACGACTTTGTCGAAATCATCCGCAAGGGTCACTTCACCGAGGGCGGTGGGTGGGGGGGCCAAACGGGCGTCTTTTACGGCTCCATGACCTTCCAGGGAATCCTCCCGTACTACTACGACGTCCTCCACCCGGGCCAGCACGTCGAGGCCAACCACTGCGTCTACAACCAGATGGCCGATAACCCACGGAACAAGAGAACGGTCCACGACGTCGTCCACGGCATCTGCATGACGGGAGAGGACGACTGCGAGGACTGCCGGTCCAGGCCCCTCGAGGAGGTCGCCACCTCCCACTTTACGCTCTGCCAGAAGCCGTGGCTCTGCCTCCCCCAGGACGACGACGTCATCCAGCAGCGGCTCTGCCGGAAGCTCCACCACGAGTGGCACCGGATACGATCGGACCTCGAGCGGACCTGGGGCCGGGACGCCTACGGGCCCGGTACCTACCAGACCGACCACTTTTACGGCCACTGCGACTCCCACGGGAAGAAGGGCTACCTCCCCATCGAGCGGCCCTACGGGCCCGCCCCGTGAGGAAGGAGCACCGCAGCCTGCCAAACCGATGCCGAGAGCGGGGTGAGGCGAGGCGAGGCGAATCCAAACAAGGACCGTTCGGAGGCTCCCCCCCCCCCTTTGGCGTCCCTCGTCGCCGTCTGCTTCGTGTTTTGTTCCGCCACGTCGTCTCGTTCTCGCTGCAGCCCGGTGTCGATGGTGCCACAGAGACGGACCGGGAGAACAGTGCGCCAACTACTCGTACTTGTTTGAGTTCGAATTAAGACTATCGATTCGTTATGAGTACGTAAAACGCGCCTGTTTTCCGTACGATCGACTCATACGACTACGACTCATACATTAACACTTACCGATCTCAAAGTAACCGTCGAGCAGCTCAACATTTCCATGTAACCAACGCGCTTGGTTGCTGCGGGATACAAAAAACTAACACTAACAAACAAAGGTTATTTTTTGCTTAAATACAAGCACCTCAACAAGCTGTTTACCTTTTCAAGGAAAACAGCCTCTGTAACGAGCCCCTATGCTTAGTTTCCCAGATCCTTCTGGGTCTAGTGGTATACAGTGTGTTGGTGGGTTAAGCAGGTGTTAGGGGAAACTCCGGTAACCCTAACTTCTTTTCCCGATTGCGGGTAGGGTTAGGGTTACCATCGTTCCCTGGAGCCTGCTGATCCAGCCCACTGGCTCACGCATACTGTTGGTACTAGCTGCCATAAGGCCCAAGAGGCCACAGGGAGGGAGCGAAGCGCGGGATGGGAGAGGTGAGCCTGGCGGTGGAGCGTCTGGGAGGAGCGGAAGCGGGGGGAGACGCGGAGGTGGGAGGCGGAAAAGATTACGGGGCTGCCGGAACGAATTCCTCAGGGAGGAACCGGTACGCGCCGTTGTTGAACATGAGCGTGGCCAAGTTGCGAAACAAGGGGACGGATTGTTGGTGGAGATACCGCATCATAGCATCGCTGTGCCATCTGGCGAGGAGTTTGATGACATTGGAGTCACACTTGCCTTGCAGGAGGGCCATGGCGCCACCGGCTCGGAGAGATCGTGCACTCAGTGCCGCAGGAGAAATTCCTGTTGCCGGAAACAGGACGGCTGCATGCCGTCTCATAGTACGGGTGACCATGGCCGCAGTAATCCGGACGTTATTGTTGTGTTGGTCATAATAGCTTGCGAGTTTGATCGAGCCATCATATGGCTTACCCGCATCGCGATACAGGAGGAACTGTCTGCAAACGGCGGTTACCGGACAGCAGAGGGGATCCCCACTCCGGGAGTGGGCAATAACATCCCCTTTTGTCCCGTTCTTTTGGGTGGTGAAGGTGAGCTGAATGGACGTGGCAGCCGTTATCTCCGCGGTTGAAGCGGTTGGCGGATGTAGGCGTCGCGTTCCAATGTAAAAGGCGATGTCATCAAGGGAGAAGGCTTGATCATCGGAAGTGGTACCAGTGTACTCACCAGGGCGTAGACAGAAGAAGAATGCAATACATATCATATTAGCAATCCCCTGTCTTTCAGGAGATGGGTGTTTGCGATAAGCAAAGTTGAGTGCGTGTGTAACGAGCGTCACTGGCACAGGCTTTACACGCGAGGGGGGCCTGTCCCTGTTTCTGTAAGATCGGAACTGAGCTGCCAGTCGGTAGTCCAGTTCCCCATATCTGTTGAGCCGGGGGTCCGGGGTCCCCATGCGGGTGATCTTCTGTCCCACTGACCGGACGGCGTCCGATACTGTGTGAGCCCTTGCACGCTTACCACTGGGGGAGATTCTTCCATCGTGGTAGCGGGCACAGAAGACTTGCAAGTATGGGACGGGGTCTGTAAAGGTCCGGAGGAATGGATCAAGGCCCTGAGACAAGCAGTAGTTAATCCAGCATGACCAATGGGCCTCCTTTTTGCGGGCATATCCTTCAGTAACACTGGATCGCATCTCCTCTTGGACAATGCCAAGATCAAGCTTGAATACATGGGCTTCCGAAGGTGGCATATGGTCCACGGTACTGTCTGTGGGAAGTACGTGTTGAAATAAGTTAACAGTTGGGTGTTAGTGAGGTCCCAGGCTCGTGAGAGTGTGTCCGCCATTGAGTTAGCAGCGCCCGGGATGTAGTCATGTAGAGGAACATATCTAAATAGCCGCTGGTGGAGGGACTGCAGCCGTAGGAGATAAGCCACTGGGCCTGTTGTGGTGGAGGCCCCTTTTCTTTGCCAATGTACGGTGGCGGTGTTATCGTAACAGTTGTGTACTGTTCTTTCTGTGACTTCGGCGGTTTGTGCTAACACATCCAGATGAGCCACAGAGCCAGCTAGCTC